GCAGAGCCACAGATCACGCCAGCCACATCCTCACACCAATGCCACCAGCATGGAGCATATCCTAGATAGTCCCCCCTGGGGGTTATACTCTCAGACTCCGGCACTGTGCGTCTCTCTCCAACATTATTTTTTACTTCCCCCTTCCTTTCTCTGTCTATGCCCTTGGCCCCTGCCATTTCCAGGTTTTTCCTTCGTTTGCCTCCTGTCCAGCTCTGCCCCATCTTGTCTCTTTGACTCTCCCTACATGTTTAACATCTCAGGCTCTCTGAATCTCTTTTCTAGGTGCCCCTTGCCTCCTTCCACTTCTCTGTCTCTTTCCTTTATTTACGGCTGTCCCTCTGTCTCTTCTTTGCCATCTCCTGTATATCTCTGTTCCTGCCTCTGCCTCTCTCTCACTATCCGTTCCATTGGTCATCTTATCCCAATCCTCGGGGACTCACAAAGGAGTCCACTCTAGGTGTCCCCTCAGTTTCCCGCCTCTAACGTATGGCGGGCAACAAGTTGAGGCACAGTCCCTGTGTGCATCCCCCACCCTGCCCCCCAACCCCAAGACAGCCTGTTACTGCGGCACCAACAGCCACAGTCGCCTCCATCTGATAAGACTTATCTGCTGCCCCAGAGCAGGCCAGAGCTGGCGTAAGCCCCAGGCACAAGCCCCAGACACTAAAGAAGTGTACCTCCACTCCGCTGCTCCTAGCCTAGTCTCCGAGGCTGGTCCATAAAGGTGGCTCACAGGTTCTAGTTGAAACACTCCCAGATCGCTATAAACCTCATTCTTCTCACCTGCAAAATGGGTACAGCTCCTCTCCCAGAATCTAGGAGGGCTCACACACAATACAGGTCCATTTCACACATAGCCTGGCACAGAATAGGGGCTTTGCTAGTGGTGTGTGAAACTTATATTTAATATTGCCATGTATCTTGACTAGAGCTCACTTGACTAGACCTTGGACTCCATAGGAGTCAAAGGCAAACTAGATCCAACAATCTACAGGATAGACAGGAAGGGTGGAGGGAGTACAAGTGCCTAAGAGGTCCCCCACAAGTAGGCGGCACACCCCCTCCCCTGTACCGCCCCACCCACTCGGGCACCAGCCACTCCCTGGGGAGGAAAGAGGAGGGAGAAGGTAGGTGGGTGGGAGGGAGGGCGGGCTGGCAAGAGGGAGGGAGGAAGGGAGCCTCAAAGGCCAAGGCCAGTGAGGACACCCCTTGGGATCTCTGAGCTCCACCACATCACTAAGGTGGCTGAACCCTCGCATCAACCATCCCAGGTCAGTCTCAATTCCCAAAGAGCCTCCAGCAAGGCAACCCCAGCCTGCTGCCCAAGCCTGCTCCAGGCTTACTGACCCACATCTTGTCCCTAAAATGTGGGTCATCCCCGAATTCTTCCACAGCTCCCCAGACTCCTTCTGCTTCCAACCTCCATCTCTCCCCGCAAACCCTTCTTCTGTCTGCCCCAACTTGGCCCCATTCCTTCTAAGATGCCTATGTCCTCTAACCCCTTAGCGCTCTCCTCTTCCTCCCAGGCCTACCATCCATAGATATTACCTCGCAAAAAACCCAAAAAACTATGCCTTCATCCCCCATGCTCTTATCTCTGTCCCAAATTGTATTTCCACTAGTTGAAACTTGTCTCTGCCTCTCGATCTCCTGAAGAAGAAAAACATTCACTTTGGCTTCCCCAGGCCTCCCATTTCTACTCCCAAGTGAATACTTCTGTTTCTACCCCCGTCTTTCTGGCTAACGGCACCTGTCTCCGATCTGTCTAACCCTAGCTTTAACCCCCATCTTTGCCTTTCAGACCCTATGCCTGCTCCCTGGGTCTTCTCTCTGGCCTCCCCAAATGGCCTCCTTCCCCTACTTCTTGGCCCAAATGCGTTCATTACTTTAGACACTAAGTTTGCTCTCCCCAAATCTATTCTGTCACAGTGACCCTTGTGGCCGTCTTCTATAAGCTCTAAGGTCTAACTGCTCGCTGAATCCCACTCTTTCCCCACCTTTTTACTCCGAGCCCCTGTTGGCTTCTCCCACTCTTTCTGTGTTCCCAGACTTCATCTAGACACCAGCCACAGTCCGGTCTGCCCCCTCTCTCCTAAACCTAACAGCTGCCCAGGAAAAGACCTTGCCTCTCTCCCATTTTACCATGACCCGCAGAACCTCTCTCTCCTTTAAACTACATTTCTAACTTTGCAAACTTCATCCCTGATTCCCTAACCCCATCTGTTTTCCTAATGCAGTTTTGAACCCAAAATGTGTGTCTGAACTCTTAAGCTCGGCTCTACTTCTCAAACTCATTATTTCCTTTCCTACTTCTCAAACTCATTATTTCCTTTCCTAAACTCCATAGCCATACCCAAACTTCTGACTTCAACTCCACATTGGAGTCTGAAACTCTCCCTCTAGCCCCGAAGTACTACATCTGCTCCCCAGATCCTGCCTCAGTGCCTTTGGCCCCAAGGGACCCTTGTTGAGGCCTGGGCAAAGGCTATTACCTGGGGTGAGGGGCTGGGCCCAGGGAGAGCTGTAGGTGCAGCTTCTGTGCCTCCTGGCTAGGGCAGCACTTTCTCTAGTGAGGCAGCTGATAAGGAGCTCTCATATCCCCCCCAGCCTTGAGATAAACTTTATCTCTTGTCGGGAGAGTGATAACTGGGGTGGGGGGGTGGGTCCTTGCTACAGGAGGGGTGGGCAGCTCTGAACCCACCAAGGTGAGAGGTCCAGGGGCGGGCAGTGAGGCCGGAGATGGAGGATGGTGACTGAGAAAGAGATCAGGAGATGGGGTGACACAGAGGGAAGGGGCACAAAAAGAACTGGGGAACAAGAGACAGAGACACTGAGAGAAAGACCATTGAGGCATAAAACACATGAAGGTGAAATAGAGACTCAAAGAAAAAGTTAGACAGAAAGAGTAGCAGTGCCATCAGAGGAGAGGCAGAAGGAGGACCGTGGACAGAAAACAAGAGAGAGGCAGAAACAGAAAGGAGAGAAGGAAAAATGAAGGGAGAAGGAGTCATGGAGAGTCAGAAGCAATCGTGGAGGAAGCAGAGGGAGGGAAGGTAAACTGGTGGTCAAGAGGGAGAAGAGACACTGTCCAAAAAAAAAAAAAATGTGGGAATTCTGAGGTCAAGGTGATGGTGGACACAATTATGAGCTGTCTTATCCCCAGCATGGTCCCAATCCTGGGGTCAGCCCTTGCTGATCTACCCAGTGGGTAGGGAAGGTGGTCTTGTCCTCAGTCTGTCTCCCACTTCTCCTTACAGGGGCAGGGGCAGGCTCTGCAACTCCTTTACAAGCTGCGTGTAGTAAGGCGCCTAGTGAGCTGTGGAATAGTGCCATGTGAGCTGTGGGGACAGTTCAAGGTCAGAGAAAGAAATGGGAGGAACAGGCACTGGGAGGCAAAGAGATTCAGACTTGGAAAGACTGAAGAGACAGTAAGCAGTATGAGTATAGGAAAAAGCAATAGTAACACAGAAGGCAAGTCGAGAAAGGTACAACGACATAAAGAAATTAAAAGATATTAGATATGGTCATACATGGATGGATAAAAGAAGGGCAGGATACACAAATTCATAAAAGCATAGAAAGAGGGGGCAAGATACACCCTAGACGGTTGGGGAGACAACTCAGTGAATAAATTATTTGCTGCATAAGTGTGAGGACCTGAGTTCAAATCCCCAGAATCCATGCTGATGCAGTAGCATGCACATCAATAGCCCCAGCATACTTATGGGGAAATGGGAGGTGGAGGAGAATCTCGGGAAACTCACAGGCCTATCCTGGTGTATGCACGCAGTAGAAAAATAGGAAGGGCGCCTGTCTTTAAAAAGGTGGAAAGTGAGGACCGACACCCATGTTTTCTGTCCTTCCCATATGTGTGTGCATGTACCCGCCCCCCACTACATAAACACACAAAGATAAAATCTTTTTTTTCAAAGGTCCATCCTAGAAGCATAGCAAGATGTAGGGAAAACACAGTCAGCCCTGAAAGGAAATGGAGGGAGAAACCCAGGGAGCCAGAGAGTTAAAGAGATAGACATGCAATATAAGACAGAGGCAAAGGGTCACCACCCAGCTCTTAGTGTACCACCTCCGCTATAGCAGATGGGGAAACTGAGGTCGAGCAAAAGTGGTGAGACTTGAAGGTTCCTGAAACAGACCCTTTCCCCCAGAGGGAGGATACCAGGGTGGGAACACCTCCCACCTGTCACTCTCCTCAGAGGAAGCCAGTAGCTTTGGGGTGATTTCAAAAGTTGGGCGGGGATGGCAGAGATAAGAAGTGTGGAGGCAGGGGTACTGACCCCTCATAGAGCAGGGAGGAACTAATGGGGCCCTCTGTCTACAGACACAACTGAGGTGGGGGAGGCAGTAAAGCCGGAAACCACGGGTTTCTGAGAAAGTCAGATGGCGAGATACAACAGATAGGATGAAGTTGGGGAGCACAAAAGGGTGAATCCCAAGGTCCTGAGGGAGCTGTCAAGGGGTCCAAGGGACCTTGGTTGCACACTTTGCCTCCACAGAAGAAGAAAGGAAGGAGAAGAGAGAATAAAAAGAAGAACTAGAAGGATGGGAGAAAAGAGAGAAGAGGAGGCTCACGGGAGGAGGAGAAAGAGGAAGGTTGGAAGGTAGAGAGCAGAGTAAAAGAGAAGGAAGGAAGGAGGAGATACAGAAAGAGGAAGAGAAACATGGCACATGAGACGGGAACAAGGAAGGGAGAAAGGAATGAGACAGACGACAGTGGAAACAGGAAGGGGGAAGACAAAAGAGGGAAGAGAGAAGACATGGAGGTGAGAGAGGAGGAGCGACAGGAATAAGAGGAAGATGAGCAGTTGAGGATGGAGGGAAGAAAGACAGGGAGGCAGTAAGAAGAAATGAGGAAGTGCTCAAAGGAAGGAAGCTGGGTAGGAAGTGAAGATGGAAGACGAGACAGGAGAGAGAACAGCCTGAGAAGGGACGACTTGGAGAAAAAGGATTTCTGTGTCTGACAACCCTTCCTGTCCTCACAGGTTAAACCCCAGTTTCTCCATGGATTTTCCTGGCCTAGGGGCCCTGGGAGCCTCAGAACCCCTGCCACAGTTTGTGGATTCTGCCCTGGTATCACCACCAGATTCAGGAGGGTTCTTCTCCTCAGGGCCTGAGGGTTTGGATGCAGCAGCTTCCTCCACTTCCCCAAGCGCAGGCACAGCTGCAGCCACTGCGCTGGCCTACTACAGGGACACGGAGGCCTACAGACATTCCCCAGGTAACTGCTGGGTAGTTGCCTTGGCACTGGCTGATAGGATTGCCACAGAGACCATTAGCCAGTTCACAATTCTACTAGGGGGTCATCTTGGAAATAGAAGCCGTGTGTATGAATGTACTGACCCCTTCCCCCATGACAGCAGTACTCCTTTCTGTGTGCCCTACTGGAGGGACACTTTAAGAGGCAAGGTTGGCAGTATGTGTTAGCTCTCTTTGGTGACAGTAGTCATTGCAATCCCAGACAGAAAGGGAAGGACGGTGTTGTCATTGCTACATTGACCAGAGGGACTTAGAACCCAGGTGTTATCCAGGAAACTATTGTGGCTGCATGGTGGAGGCACACACTTTCAGCACTTGGGAGGCAGAGGCAGGCAGATCTCTGTGAGTTCGAGGCCAGCCTGGTCTACAGAGCTGGTTCCAGGACAGGCTCCAAAGCTACAGAGAAACCCTGTCTTGAAAAAAACATAAACAAACAAACAAATTGTTGTGGGAAGATTGGAAACCTAGCTGCCATGTTGGGACTGATGGACACCATAACATTGATTACCCTTAGGTTCATTGCTCTCCTTCTCCCCCCTCCGCCCTGTACCCCTCCAACAGTTTTTCAGGTGTACCCGCTTCTCAACTGTATGGAGGGAATTCCAGGAGGCTCACCTTATGCTAGCTGGGCCTACAGCAAGACGGGGCTGTACCCTGCTTCAACTGTGTGCCCCAGCCACGAGGATGGCCCTCCTCAGGCCCTGGAAGACCCCGAAGGGAAAAGCAGCACCACCTTCTTGGAAACCTTGAAGACAGAGCGACTGAGTCCAGACCTCCTGACCCTGGGGACTGCACTGCCGGCATCGCTGCCTGTCAACAGCAGTGCTTATGCGGGACCTGACTTTCCCGGTCCTTTCTTTTCTCCCACGGGGAGCCCTCTCGGTTCTGCAGCCTATTCTTCCCCCAAGTTTCACGGAAGCCTCCCCTTGGCCCCTTGTGGTGAGGCTCTCAAAAAGAACAGGGAGGATGAGTTGGGCTAGGTAGCTCAAGGCAAAGTTAAAGCTGAGTTAATGCTTAACTTTTTTTCTCTGTTCACCCACCAGAGGCCAGAGAGTGTGTGAACTGTGGAGCAACAGCCACTCCACTGTGGCGAAGGGACAGAACAGGCCACTACCTGTGCAACGCCTGCGGTCTGTATCACAAGATGAATGGCCAGAACCGGCCTCTCATCCGACCCAAGAAGCGATTGGTAAGACCAGGGGTTAGCCTGACCTATGCAGATGAGTTCCAACCCAGGACAAGAGGCCAGTATTCTTCCCTCCTACAGGAACCCCTGCCCAACTCATGTTTGTCTCCAACACATCGTATTCTTGCCCTCACCCTCATCCTTTCCCCATGGGGACACACCCATCCCTTTCCTATGCAGGAGCCCTACTCTAATCTAGAACTCTCATCCTTTACCTACCCTTTGAGGCTTCAAACAGAAACCCTGTTCTCAAATTTGTGTGAAAAACTTCACCACATCCTTAAGTGGGCTTATTGCTTATGGTTCACATTGTAATCTCCTTGGATGCCTTCTTACAGAAGGCAGGACATCACTGAACTGGGCAAAAGGATTTTGTTTTCTGCGTTGGGGATGGAGTCCCAGGCCTCATGCATGCTAGGCAGGTATTCTACCATAAGATTACACCCCCAGCTCCGAGATTTCTGTAGCTTCCCAAGAAATTCTTTGTTTTGCTTTGATTTTTTTTTTTGTTTTTTGTTTTTTTGCTTGAAATGGGGCTTTGTTATGTCATCCTGGCTGGCCTGGAACTATGTACACCGGACTGGTTTTGACTTTGTCATGATCCTCTTGTCTCTGTTTCCTGAGGGCCAGGAATGTAGGTATGAGTCACCACACCTGGCTTCTTTCAAAAGATTCAGATATGTGGCCAAAGTTGAAAACCAGAGATGGAAGGAGTCTCACACAGATTAAAATAAAGTCCTTGGCAGACAGTGGTAGAGGAGGCAGAAGCAGGAGCTCTGTGAGAGCAAGGCCAGGCTGGTCTATAGAGCTAGATCCAGAATAGCCAGGACTACACAAAGAAACCCTGTCTTGAAAAAAAAAAACAAAATAACAATAATATTAAAATTAAGTAATTTCCTTATCCTTGATAGGAAAACTTGCATTCAGTGTGACTCACATGCCTTTGGGAGTGGGACTCCCACGACTTTTCTCAGGCCCCAACTTCTACTTTCCCAGAGCTCTGATCTACATCCTTTTGTCCCTCAGATTGTCAGCAAACGGGCAGGCACTCAGTGCACTAACTGCCAAACGACCACCACAACCCTCTGGCGCAGAAATGCCAGTGGAGATCCCGTGTGCAATGCCTGTGGCCTCTACTACAAGCTACACCAGGTGACAACTCTCCTTCATGGTGCTTGCCGTCCTTCCTCCACGGTGGTGTCCTCATACACCTTGAACTCCCTCTCCTGCCTAGAGTCTTCCTCCTCTGCCCTCCCTTCCGCTTCTCTCAGCTTTCTCTTCTCGCGATTTCTTTCTCTATTCGCTTCTCCTCACGCTCAGCCACTCTTCCCATCTCAGGCCTCCTTTCTGTCCTTCCCCTCTCTCCCCTTTCTCTTCTTGCCACCCCCACTACCTTTCCCTCCCATGCACTAAGTCTTGGGTACCTCTTGTCAGCCTAGGAGGATATTCCAAGTTCAGGGCCTCACGGCCACATGTTTCTCTACACCAGCGGCCCTGAGTACATTGCCCTAGTCATTGAATTAATTCCGTATTCTTAAAACAGTGGGGTTGAGAGGATGTCCCTAGCCCAGAGATATACACACAAAGGGCTGGAGCTGGCAACCCTGTGGTCTCCCTTTCTCCAGGTGAACCGACCATTGACCATGCGGAAGGATGGAATTCAGACTAGGAACCGCAAGGCCTCTGGAAAAGGGAAAAAGAAGCGGGGTTCAAGTCTGGGAGGAGCAGGAGCAGCTGAAGGGCCAGCTGGTGGCTTCATGGTGGTAGCTGGTGGCAGTAGTGGTGGGAATTGTGGGGAGGTGGCCTCAGGCTTGACACTGGGCACTACAGGTACTGCCCATCTCTACCAGGGCCTGGGACCTGTGGTGCTATCAGGACCTGTCAGTCATCTTATGCCTTTCTCTGGACCTCTGCTGGGATCGCCCGCAGCCTCTTTCTCCACAGGTCCTGTGCCGCCTACCAGCAGTACCACTGTGGTGGCTCCCCTCAGTTCTTGAAGGTACACAAAATGGCTTAAGCCTTGTGGCAGAGAAGGTGTCCCCTCTTTATTTTTTTTATTTTTATTTTTATTTGGATTTTTCGAGACAGGGTTTCTCCGTAGCTTTTGGTTCCTGTCCTGGAACTAGCTCTCATAGACCAGGCTGGCCTCGAACTCACAGAGATCTGCCTGCCTCTGCCTCCCGAGTGCTGGGATTAAAGGCGTGAGCAACCAACGCCCGGCTCTTTTTTTATTTTTATTTTTATTTTTATTTTTATTTTTATTTTTATTTTTGAGACAGGATCTCTGTAGCCCAGGCAGACTATGACAAATTCCTGATTCTTCTGCCTCTACCTCCCAAGCACTGGGATTATAGGCATGTACTGCCATGTCTGACATTTTTTTCCTGTTTTTTTTTTTGTTGTTGTTTTGTTTTGTATTGAGACAGGGTCTCACTCTGTAGCCCAGGTGGCTTTGAATTCCCTATGTAGTCTGGGATAGACTCAAACTTGACATCCTTCTGCCTCAGTTCCTGCGAGCTGGGATTCCAGGCATCTGCCTCCATGCCCATTTCTTCCTCCTCTTAGAGCCCAACCCAACAGGCTGCAGACATCACCTTGCCTGTACCTTCAAAGATTTTGTAAAATAAAACCACCAAAGACCTGAAACTGGAGCCACGAGTTTGTGTTTGGCTAAATAAATGTCAGTGTCTAGTGGGGGTGTAGAGTGGCGCCTGGGCTGGACGACAGACTCTAACAGAAATGTATGAATACACGAGCCTGGAGGAGTCTGCGGTGTAACATTTCACAACTGAAAATCACCATCCAAAAATGTAACCGCATACATGAAGTTTTGTGGACAGCATCCAGGTGGTTCCATGTGTCTTTGTAAGATGGTGTAGGACTGGTTAATTGTGGGTGAGGTGGTTGGTGTAAGATGGCAAAGGTGCCACCAAGCTGCAGGAGGACAGCACATAGAAATGCATGTACCGTGACAGGCGATGAGACAGGTGAGGTTGGAGTTGCATGGTTGTGCATGACTCTGGATGATCACTGAGACAGTGTGATATCACAAACTGGGCCCAGAATCTGATGACTAAGCACCTTTGAGACACTGAGCAAGGACTATGTACGAGGCCCAATAGTATGGCTGTGACATTGTGCAACAGTGAATTCTCTTGTTGCTGTTACAGAAGACCCGATGACAGTAACTTACACAAGGAAGATTTATTTTGGCTCAGGGTTTCAAATGGATTCCAATACATCACGGTGGAGAAAGCTTTTTGGCAGCTCTCATGGGGATGGGAACTATGGCAAGACTCTCCATGACAGTCAGAACAGAAAAGTAGAGAGTGACACACAAAGGTCAACCCAACCAGTCAGGCCTCACAACCTCCCAGAATAGTGCCACCAGCTAAGGACCAAATGTTTAAAGATACGAACTTGTGTAGGACAGTTCATTTTCAAACTGTACCAAGATGTGTGTCTCTCTAGAACATCTTCGTTGCTCTGGAAACGGCAGTTCTTTCTCTGCCAGTGTCTAAATATGTCCGGGTGCATGCACCATGTAGACTGTGCCATGGCACTGTGTGTCTTAGGGCTGACAGTGGGAGCAGCTCTGTGTACATTCGTGGAGCTGTCAAATGCATACTTCCCCACTGAGTTAGGGGCCCTCCTCCATGGGAAATGAGACCATCTTCAGGAAAGGAAAGTGGGAAAGAGTGGATTACAATGAAAGCTCAAATGTGTTCCCTGAGCCTTCCTGGAGGCAGCCAGTCCTTAACTAAGCCTGCTGCCCTATAGGGAATGGGAAGAATGAAGGGACGGACAGACAAAACATCTTCTGAAACAGGATGTAGTAGCTCAAGCCTACAATTCCTGCACTTGGAAGGATGAGACAGGGGGATTGCCACTAGTTTGAGGCCTCATCTTAAAACTAAGCTCTGTGTGAAGGGTTTGGAAAGCTGGAGACAGGCAAGTTAAGAGTAAAAAATGACAAACAAAACTAGCGTCTGGAGGCTAGAGAGAGAATTCAGCAGTTAAGCGCAGCACTCTGCCAGAGGACACTGCTGGGTCCCCAGCACTCACACAGTTTCTCACAATTTTCCCTAACTCCAGTTCCAAGGGACCATACCCCCTCCTCTGGCCTCCCAGGGCACCACCAGGCATGCAGGTGGCGCACAGACATACATGCAAGCAAAACACTCATCCACATAAAATTAAAATTAAAAATGGCCTGTGAACCTTATACCTGCAAGGTGGGGAGTACCACACTGCCAGGTACCTCTTTACACTCCTATTAAACTGGGTGAGCTGTTCCCCGAAATGAAATATGTCATTCAATTTAATAAGCATAAGTTGAGAGGATGGCTATAGAGAGATGGCTCAGCAGTTCAAAGCACTTGCTGCTCTTGCAGAGGACCCAGGTTTGGTTTCCAGCACCCACATAATGGCTCACAAGCAGCTGTAACTCCAGTTCTAGGCGATCTGGTGCCCTTTTTGGCTTACAGTATACATACATACACATACGCAAAAGCAATAAAAATATTTTTAAGGAAATTAAACACTTAGAAGATGTACTTAATGTACTTTTAAGTTGGGAACATTCTAAGACAAGTAGGTAAAGTGATTCACCCAAGGCCATACAGTTTAGCACAGAGCTGGAACAGGTAATCTGGTCAAAGACTGTCTGGCCTCTTTCCTTCTAAGGTAGAGGCTAGAGGATCCTAAACTCAAGGTCATCTTTGACTGCCTGTGAAGTTCACGGCCAGCCAGGGACACGTGAACCATTTCTTAAAAATAAAACAAAATAAATTAGGTATACAGGATATCCCAGAGGAATTCTGGTGAGGATCCGGTGACGATGGTGTACCAGAAACCAGAGGCCTTGAACCAATTCAGTGACTCATTGTAAAAATAAAAATAAAAAAAAGATAGAGATGTTGGGAGGAGAAGCAAAGAGATTTTTTGTTTTGGGGGTTTTGGTTTGGTTCGTTCTTTTTTGTTTTGTTTTGTTTTTTTGAGACAGGGTCTCTCTATAGCTTGGGAGCCTGTCCTGGAACTAGCTCTTGTAGACCAGGCTGGCCTCGAACTCAAAGAGATCCACCTGCCTCTGCATCCCGAGTGCTGGGATTAAAGGTGTGTGCCACCATCACCCAGCTGGTTTGGTTTATTCTTAATTTGTGTTGGTTTGCTTCCTTGCTTTCTTACTGTGTTTTGATTTCTTTGGTTGGGGGGTGCTGCAGGGGTGAGGGGAGGAAATGGGGGGCTGGGGTGAGTGGAATTGGGGTGCATGATGCGAAACTCTCAAAGAATAAAGAAGTTAAAAACAAATAATTTACTGATATAAAATCATGAACATATATAAATTAAAACAATTTTTCAGTATACATACAATCTTATTATTCATCAGAAAATGAAAGCAAATTTTCATACTAACAAGATATTTATTTATTGTTTTTGTTTTTTGAGACAGGGCTTCTTCCTGTATCCCTGCCTGGCCTGGAACTTGCTCTGTAAATCAGACTGACCTCAAACTCACAGAGATCTGCCTATATCTGCCTCCCAAGTGCTGGGATTAAGGTGCTCACCAGTACTGCCTATTAACAAGCTATTTATTTTTTTCATAAAGTGATGGAGGAGGGTCATCTGTCTATGTGTTACTTTCATTGGTTAATAAAGAAACTGCCTTGGCTTTTTGATAGGGCAGAATTTAGATAGGTGGAGTAGACCGAACAGAATGCTGTGAGAAAGAAAGCAGAGTCAGGCAGACGCCATGCTTCTCCTACCCAAGATGGACGCTGGTTAGACTCATGCTGGTAAGCCACAGTCAAGTGGCAATATACATTAATAGAAATGGGTTAAGCAAGATGTGAGAGTTAGCCAGTAAGAGGCTAGAGCTAATGGGCCAGGCAGTGTTTAAATCAATACAATTTGTGTGTTGTTATTTCAGGTGTAAAGCTAGCCCTGTGGGAGCTGGGCGGAACAAAAAGCAGGCCTGCTCACCTCATTACTACAATAAAGAATTAAATCTTGGAACGGGAAAGACAGCAGTTAGTAAACCATCTGCTTTGCAAATGTGAGGACCTGAGTTCAAATCCTCAAACCCATGTAAAAAGCCAGATATTGTAGCCTGCACATGTAATCGCAACACTGGTGAGACAGAGGGGAAAGACAACAGGACCCCTGGTGCTCACTGGTCAGCCAGCCTAGACTACTTTGTGAAGTTCCAGGCTAGTAAGATGCCAGGTCTCAAAGAAAAGGTGGGAGGTGACTAAGGAGTGACACTAGAGATTGTTCTCTGACCTCCACACACATTCAGAAGAAATCTTGGCTAAATACTTGAAACTGTACAAGTATATCTTGATTTTATTATCAATACTGAGAATGCCACTTCAGATAAGTATGTAGTGCAAAATGTGACAATTATATTTAAGCCTGGGCTAGCAAGATGGCTCAACAGGCAGGGGTGCTTGATGCCAAGCCTGATGTTGAGTTCAGTTGGGGGGGGCAAACATAATGAAAGGAGAAAACACCCCTGCAAGTTGTTCTCTGTCTCTCTCTGTCTCTCTCTCTCTCTCTCTCTCTCTCTCTGTCTCTCTCTCTCTCTCTCTCACACATACACTAATTGTATTTTTTTTAAAAAGTATGTTTATGGCTATTTTAGAAGTTGTTAGAAATTCTGTCCTAATCCTAAACAAAATTTATTTAATGGTTTTAAAAAATGAAGTTAGCACTTCAAATAATAATTTAAATTATTTAAAATTTATTTTACTATTTTATGTGTATGAGTGTCTGCACATAGGTCTGTGAACCATATGCATGCCTAGTGCCCATAGAAACTGAAGAGGATGTCAGATCCTCTGGAAGTGGACTAACTTACTCTGCTTCTAAGCCATGTTTGCTGGGCACTGAACCTGAATCCTCTAGAAGAGCTCTTAACCACGGAGCTATCCCTCCAATCTCACTCAGACACTTTTTTTTAGTCAGGGTCTGTCTACACAGCTATTCTGGAACTCACTCTGTAGACCAGGCTGGCCTTGAACTCACAGAGACCCACCTGACTCTGCCTCCCGAGTGTTGGAATTAAAGGGTTGCACCACCAAGCCCCAAGAACCGTATTTTTTGTTTGTTTGTTTGTTTGTTTTGTGTTTCCACACAGCGTTTCTCTGTAGCTTTGCAGCTTGTTCTGGAACTTGCTCTATAGCTCAGGCTGGCCTCGAACTCAGAGATCCACCTGTCTCTGCCTCCTGAGTACTGGGATTAAAGGCATGCACCACCACCACCCGGCTGACAACCATAATTTTTTAAGTCAAACATTCTAATACAATATAATAATGGGGATTAAACTCAGCCTAACTCATGAGAGGCAGACACTCCACCACTGAGCTATAACTCCAGCTTCTTTTCATTTTTTTCTTTTAAAATTCTGCTCACATAAATAAAGGACATTGAGCCTATAATTTGTGATCCTAGAGAAGCTAAATAAGAAGGTGAACCCAAAGAAAAACATATAGGCATCCTCCTGAATATTAACCTTCATCAGGTGATGAAAGGAGACAGAGACAGAGACCCACATTGGAGCACGGGACTGAAATCTCAAGGTCCAAATCAGGAGCAGAAGGAGAGTGAGCACTAACAAGGAACTCAGGACCGCGAGGGGTACACCCACACACTGAGACAATGGGGATGTTCTATCGGGAACTCACCAAGGCCAGCTGGCCTGGGTCTGAAAAAGCCTGGGATATTCACTCATCTGTTTCCCCAACGCTGGATTAAAAGTGTGGGCTACCACACGCACAGCTCCATATTCAGTCTTAACTCACAGTTTAGGAAGGTCTACTTTAGCTGGACGGAGGCAAAGGCAGGTAGCTCTCTGTGAGTTCAAGTCCAGCCTGGTCTACAATGTGAGTTCCAGGGTAGCTAGGACTGTCACACAGAGAAATCCTGTCTCAAAACCAAAAAATATGGAGCTGGAGACGTGGCTCAGTGGTTAAAAGCACTGGCTGCTCTTCCAAGAGGACGGGGGTTCAGTTCCCAGCAACCTCATGCTAGCTCATAACTGCCTGTAACTCCAGTTTTAGGGGTTCTGACACCTTCACATGACACACATGCAGGCAAAACACCAATGCACATGAAATAAAAAGAAATTAGTTTTCAAAGGTCTACTTTAGTTCGTAATGCCTGAAGAAAGTCTATTCATACTCATCTTACCAATAAAAACGTGAGGTTTGGATCTGTTAAGTATCTTGTCCAACCACCCTGAGTTCAACGAGTAGGTTCTGAACGGAGTGACTGCCCCCAGCCCTGCAAATCAGCTTTGTTTGCATTAGTACAGATGTCTTCCCTTGGAACCCCACACATGAGCGCTATGGAGGTACAGAAACGAATCACAGTTGGTACCTAACTTCACCAGAGAGCCAACTCCCTGTCGTTAGTGCCCCTGAGCGCAGCCAGGTATGGCAACAGACACCTGTGATCCCAGCACTCAGCAAGCTGAAGCAGTAGTACTGTCCTGCGTTCCAGGCCAGTTGTGGTTACACAGTGAATGCAAGTCCAGCCTTGAGATATATGGAGTTTTTTTTTTTAACTTTTTAAAATTTTTTTTAATGATTTATTTAACTTTATTTTATATGCATTGATGTGAAGGTGTCAGTTCTTGTGGAACTGCATTTTCAGACAGTCGTGAGCTGCCATGTGGGTGCTGGGAATTGAACCCCAGGTCCTCTGGAAGAGCAGTCAGTGCTTTTAACTGCTGAGTCATCTCTCCAGCCCGATATATAGAGATCTTATCTCAAAAAAAATCACAATCGCTTATATTCCTTTCAGAGTGTTTCCAGAATGGCTGTGGCCTTATAAAATCCATATGTTATGTCTGACCCCAAAAGAAGCTCTCACACCTTTCAGACACCCCTTATCTGAACAGCAACTCTAAACGGAACTGCTGCTATGTAGGTTCCTGGTCTTATGTTAAGGGATCCCAGGTCCACCCCCTCCTAGGGGTGAGTGCAGGAAGCACAGGCCAGTTCTGAGACTCTATAGACTTGACCTCTTGTTCACGTGTGTGTGTGTGTGTGTGTGTGTGCGTGTGTGTGTGTGCGCGCGTGCGTGCACGCAAGCACTCTCTTCCTCTTCCTCCCTCCTCCCCTCCCTCCATTTTTCCATTTCCCTCTCTCCCCCTCTCCCCCTCTCCCCTACCTCTCCCCCCTTCTTCCGTCTACTCCCCACCTTTCTGCTCCTGCTCTCCTTCCCTTCATCTTGCCCTCTCTTCCTCCCTGGTCTCACGTCCATCTAGTTGTTTTGTTTTTCTCAATTTTTTCTGACACAGGGTCTCACTCTGTATATAACCCAGGCTGGCTTTCTGCTCAGTATGTATCCAGACTGACTTTGAACTTATGGCAATCCTCCTGCTTCAGCCTCGAAGATGCTGGGACTTCAGGCATGGACCACACCTGAAAGGGAACCCCTCTCTAACAATCCACAGGGAATCCATCCTGATTCTGGATATGAGCTCCAGCCCCTACATTAGTTAGGAATCTCAGACCACACACAGCAAGGAGCCCCTGTACCACCCACCCCTGAAGGTGATGCCTGTCCTGACCTTCTGTGTGAGTCTCAATCTCTCTGTGGGTCCTATGTGGACCTCAGGCAAGAACATCACTGGCATACCACTGGGTTACTTCCCTGTCCTCCATACAACCCATGTGTAATAAACTCATTTATGACTTCCACAGATCCGACTTTTTCTGTATAGAAATTTCCATCCTTAACTCCTTCAGGAAATCTGATCATGTGTAGAAGCTCTTGCTTTTATTGTCAGCAATAAGCCCTGACCACTACCTGGTATAAAAATCCTATTAAATATCACGTCTTACCAAGGAACCCAGGATCCACCTTGTAACACAGACTTTTGTTTGGAACTTGTTGAGAAAGTTCTTTCTTAGCTGGGCATGGGGATGCTTGACTGTAATCCCAGCACTTGGGTAGCAGAGGCAGGCAGGGATTCAGGACTAGCCTGGTCTAGGCCAGATAGGGCTATCCCTACCTCAAAACAAAAAGGTGGGGGCCTGGAAAGATGGCTCAATGGTCCAGAATACTGGCTGCTCTTTCAGAAGACCCAGATTTAATTCCCAGCGCTCACAAGCACCTTTTACTCCATTTCCTGGGGATTTGATACCCACACTTCTGGCCTCCTTTGGCACCGGGCATGCAAATAGTGTATAAACATACAGGTAGACAAACCACAATACACATAAAATTAATTAATTGACTGCAAAAAGCCAGACTAGTCTAAACAGCAAGATCCTATGAGAAAGTAATAGCATGGACACCTGTAGTTTACTTTCTACTTTGAACCCTGCCAATCTTATTTATGAAACTATGGACCTATGGCTTCACCTGGCAGAAGACCTGATTGGGTCCTCTGGAGCTACCCTGGCCATGGCGTTATCCTGCATGGAGCCCCACCTTTTGTTGTTTTCTTTTGTTTTTTTGTTTTTGAGACAGGGTTTCTCTGTGTAGCCCTGGCTGTCCTGATACATTCTGTAGACCAGATTGACTGTTCAAGTTCTCTTGAACTCGCAGATTTACCTGCCTCTGCCTCCCAAGTGCTGGGATTAAAGGTGCACACTACCACTGCCCTAGGGGCCCACTGTCTTGAACCAAGAGAAGAAACATGAACCCAAGTCTTGGAAGTAACCACAGTCCAAATTCTGCAGAGAACTATGACTCCCAACAGGTACCTCCACCCTGAGCTGGTACAGAAAGCTTTTGCCATTAAATTCAGTAGGAACCTTCTGTCTACCTTTTTAGAGGAACCTAAGGAGTGAATCACTATAAAAATGTCTATCCTTTAGGGGAACCTGTGGTGGTCTCATTAAATAATCCATATTCCAATGTGGACATGATGGTACACAATTGAAATTCAAACTGTTTGGCTGCTGGGTTTTGTTGTTATTGTTTATATTGCCAGGGATGTAATCCAGGGTTTCACAAGTGCTAGGCAAAATGCTCTACCAAGTAACTACATCTCCAGCTACAGAATGAATATCTTTGCTCTTCTTTCCTTCCTTCTCAAATATGCTAGGCAATTATACGCTAAGATACATCCCTAGTACATGTCCTAGCTACTCAGGAGGCTGAGGCAGAAGGATCTCTTGAGGCTAAGAGTTTAAGACTAGTCTGGACAACATAGAAAACATGATGATTTCATTTCTTTAAAAAAAAAAAAGTTTGCCGGGCAGTGGTAGCGCATACCTTTAATCCCAGCACTTGCGAGGTGGATCTCTGAGTTCGAGGCCAGCCTGGTCTACAGAGTGACTACCAGGACAGCCAGGACTGTTACATAGAGAAACCCTGCCTTGAAAAACAAAACAAAAACAAACAAAAAAAAATGCTCAGTTGGTAAAGTGTTACCTTCCAAATACCAGGACCTTCGTTTGATCCCCAGAACCTGGTACAACAAATCATTGTGGGGGAGCATACTTATAATGCCAATACAGAAGGAGACTGGAGACGAGCAAACCCCTAGCACTTCCTAGCAAACCCGCTTAGCCTATCTGGGGAGTTCCCAGCCAGCGAGAAACTCTGTATCAAAATAATAAACCTGCACTCCACCTGGGGAACAACACCTGGGCTTTACACACATACACACTCACCTCTCCACACAGCAGCACACACATACAAACACATACACGTGCATGCCAGAACGAACGAGTTCTATAACTTACAATCTGAATTGCCATAAACATCTGTCTGGAACCTGTCTTAGAATCTTTAGTTGAACACATACAGGATTTCATGATCCCGATCAGCTCCCATTAGCTTCAGTGCTGTACAGAAACGCCTGGGTTTTTGACACACCTATGGGATATTTTACACTAGCCTGTCCCTGTGGGGTGTAAGAAATGCCCATGTTGCAAACTATTTTATGCTGGGAACAAAGATTTTTAAATGCAGGCACTGTAAAGGAAGAACACTGTCTGTCTTGAGGTACTGTGGATGACCCCTGAAGGCAAATACTGCAGGTCAGTGTGTGGAGAGGTGGAAAAATGGGGAAAGGTATTAACAGAAACATTCCCAAATCTTACTCTCCAAAGAAGGAGACAAGAGGAACGTCTATCTGTCAAAGGGCTCTGAACTGTAACCCTCTGGGTTAATGTTGTCATCCATGACACCTGGCCTCTTATGCTGTAATCCTCTGGCCTAAATAACTACAGAAAGCCTTAACTCTTCAGGCCTTAAAAGGAATTTTCTTAAATCTGTACAGAAAATCAGAGCCGTCACATCCTCCCCTCTCCCTTGACAATGGCTTCAACTCCTTAGTTTCCTACAAACCTGCCTTCCCAGCTAATATAGTCATTCTCCTGACTCCAGGCAGCAGACACTAACTTGAACCCACAGAGGACTTCTTACCTTTGCAGCAGAACTCCTGTGCCAGGCTGGAGGGTGTAGTTTAGTGGCAAAGCACTTGTCCAGTGTGTGTGAGTCTCTGGATTCCATCCCCAGCACTGCATCAAAGAAAGCAAGTGTGAATACCTGGAATTTTAAGCTAATAGAATTACTTTTCAAGATTTATTTTTAATTCTGTGCAAGTGTCATCATCTATGACTTCTAGGTCTAGGCCACAAAAGCTTTCCATGCAAGCCTCTGCTCTGTTTCCCCATCTACCAACTAGTGAGAACTCCAAGTATACAGAGGCAACTAGGCCATAAAAAGGTATTTCTCTAGGTCCATGAAAGAGTGGCCATAAACATTCTGATGGTATTTTATGAAAAAAAATAAACACTTACTTGTTAAGCCCTTGAATTTCTCATAACTAACTAGCATAATGTAATATTTAGGTCAATTAATAACAATCCCTCGATCTGAAACTGTATGAATACTGCATTTTTTTAAAGCACAGGATAGCCTTTATCTTACTACGTAGCCAAGGAGGACCTTAAACTTCCGAATCTTCTGCCTCCACCTCCCAAGTGCTGGGATTACAGGTGTCTAAAGCTAGGACTCCATGCATGCTAGGCAAGCCCTCTACCAACTGAGATACATCTTCCATCCCAGCCCTCAGTGTATACCAATCTTAATGTCTCTGTGAACACAAGCATGGTAGCTATACAGAAAGCACCTAGGTGACCTGGACATTGATCACCTGACCTCTCATCCTAGGGCAAGAGAGATGGCTCAGGCAGTAAAGTACTCATTGTGAAAGCATGAGAATTGGAGTTCGAGCCCCAGAACCCATGCTTGTGATTGTTTGTTTTTTTTTTTTAAAGCCAGAGACTATGGAGAAGGCTCAGCAAGTAAGGGTGCCAGCCACTAATTCTTGAGGATTTTGAGTTCAATCCCTGAGACCCAGAAGGTAGACTTTCTCCTACCAACTTGTCCAAATTGTCCTCTGACCTCCACAAACATGATATGGCACTCTCATGCTTGCACGAATGTACACACATCCACAAACAAAACGAATAAAATGCAATTTTCAAAAGCTAAGTGCAGCATGTACCTGCAATTTCAGCACAACAGGATTCTCGGGGCCTGCTGGCCAGCCAAGTCACAAAGCTCAAGTGAGACTCAAGTGGGCACATTCAGTGGTGGCGTATGCCTTTAATCCCAGCACTCGGGAGATGAAAGTGGGCTGATCTCCGAGTTTGAGGCCAGCCTGGTCTATAGAAGAGAAACCCTGTTCAAATGCCTCCCCCACCAATAAAACCATCTCTGTTTCAAAAAATAAGATGGAAGGGGCTGGAGAGACAGCTTCAAGGTTTAAGAGGGCTTACTGCCCAACTGTAAGGGCCTGGGTTCAGATACAAGCACGCATGTGACAAGCTGGGTCTGTGACTTTGAGGCCAGTCTGGTCTACAGATCAAGTTCCAGGACTGCCAGGACTGTTACACAGAGAAACCCTGTCTCAATAAATAGATAGCTAGATAGCTAGCTAGCTAGATAGATAATCTAATAGCAGAATTGATGTGGCCCTGTCGTCACAAAAGGAATACCTGTCCTCAAGGAGAAATGGAACTCTTGCTATCTTCATTATGGTTACCATTGCTGCGATGAAACACCATGACCAAAAGCAACTTGTGGAGGAAAGGGCTTATTTCTCTCATAGTTCCATACAACAGTTCATCAACAGCAGTGCGGGTAGGAACTCACGCAGGAACCTGGAGGCAGGAGCTGATGCAGAGATCATGGAGGGGAACTGCTTACTGGCCTGCTCCTCATAGCTTGCTCAGCCTGCTTTCTTATAGAACCCCTGACCACCTGCCCAGGTGGTACCACGCACAATGGCTGAACCCGCTCCACCAATCACTAATTAAGATAATGCCCTACAGGCTTGCCTACAACCTTGCAACTGAGGCTCCGTCCTCTCAGATGACTTTAGCTTATGTCAAGTTGATATAAAACTAGCCAGCACAATTGATCCCTTGTCAACTTGACACAAACACATCACCATTAAGCCACAACCTTTTCTTTCTCATCCATCCCCAATATCTCACATTAAAAATATAAATAGCAGGCCATGGTGCTGCATGCCTTTAATCCCAGCACCCAGGAAGTAGAGAGAGGCCTGTGAGTTTGAGGCTGGCCTGGTCTATAAGCAAGTTCCAGGACAGCCAAGACAGTTACACAGAAAAACCCTGTCTCAAAAACCCAAAAGAATATATACATATACATACACATATGTATATGTATAATATACATGTATATCCTTATATATATTTAGTTTAAACTTGTAAAGATCATGAAGTTTCATCATGGAGCTTCTATATCAGGATATAGATTTATATCCTTTTAAAACTCCATGGTCTTTACAAATTCAAACACGCCGGGTGGTGGTGGCGCATGTCTTTAACCCCAGCACTTGGGAGGCAGAGGCGGGTGGATCTCTGAGTTCGAGGCCAGCCTGGTCTACAAAAGCTAGTTCCAGGACAGGCTCCAAAGCTACAGAGAAACCCTGTCTCAAAAACAAAACAAAACACCAAATTTAAACACATTAAAAGTTCAGTGTTTTTAAAATAGCCAATCTCTCTTAAGATCTAAAGTCGTTTAAAATTCAAAGACTCTCAACTGTGGACTCTTTTTTTTTTTTTTTTTTTTTTTGGTTTTTTTTGTTTATTGTTTTT